CACAAGCCGGTTTGTGCTCCGACCGCGAGCGTGCGTGGTCTCCTGCGGTGGGGGCGCGTCCGGGTGATAGTGATAGCGCAGTCGGTTCAGGGCGCTCCGGAAGTCATCCAAGATGATGGTGTCGCTCAGGCACTTGAATACAAGCGCCAGCTGCCGCAGGGTCAGCATGCTGATCTTCTCCTCGTCAGTGGCGGCCGCTCACCTTCCAGAACGGCTCCATCCCCGGGGGGTAGCCTAGGCGATTCTCGACCCGGATCGCACACATGTCCACCACCGCAAACACGACGGAAATAATCATGAACAGGAGCATGACGCCGAAACGTGGGCTGATGCGGATCAACTGCATCAGCAAACACCCATACCCCGGCTGGATGATGTACAGGAGAAAGCAGGTGGTGAAGATCCACCAAGGGTCCCTAAATTCGGATTAGCAGCGCCGGGCGTGGAAAGAATTGCGCTCGAACACCGCACCGGAACAGCGGCTCGAGGGGCCGAGTGGTGGTATACAAGGCCTCGCCCCGATTGAAAAAGACAAAATTGGCATAGATCTCGACGACCCAGTACGGCTGGGCCGCCAGCAGGGTGATCAGATACAGTCGCGTGCCCCAGGGTGGGAAAAAGCCGCGAATCTTCATCCATGCAATTACGTTGTGGAGGGAATGCGAAATTGTGAGCCCCACAGCCGTGACCGAGAGAAACCAGCCATACGCAGGCGCATGGAGAAAGATGAACGTTCCGTGCCCGAGGACCAGGGCGAGCTAAGCGTCCGCATCAGCACGGGATAGTGCCCCATTCGCTGCAACGAGGCAGCACAACTTACCTCTGCCACGATCGGTCTGTGCAGGAGCACCCCTTTTTTCATGTTGGCCGCGGTGAAGGCAATCATGACAATAAGGGAGCCCACCAGGAATCCTTGTCCCCACGCCTCCACGACAAGGATGTCCGGGTCAGTAGGACGCTGGCCAGCACTTGGCATCATATCATCGCTCTCCATTCGACTGTGTCAACGTGAGGTGGAAAAGACCCTTCATGAGTGATGGGGTATCTTTATATGATCGGATGAGATTGGGTAATGTTCGCTGCTCGGCATGGTCAACTGCCGTGGACGACTGAGAGTAGGAGGGAAGTCGGTCGACTGTGACTGTGACCGGCCAAAGATCTACGGGAGGCCAGCCAGAGCCTCTTTCTTTTCTGAAGGGGTTCTCAGGAGTAATGGTAACCTTCGGAGGTCCAGCCGCGCCTCAAGTGTGGGCTTCTTTGCCACTCCGGGTGAATAGTTGAATACCGTAACCTGTAGAGTACCATCCGGCCTTGTCCATTCATGGAATAAGCCGAGACTGTAGGATTGCGGAGAATCCAGTGTTACCTACTATACGTCTGGCTGCAGGAACCAAGGCCGACGGAGGAATAGACTTTCCGTCTATTTACTTTAGCGTCATATGAGATAAAGAAAGGAAGGGCACAGCGACCACGGAGATGGCCCCATTGAATGGATGCCACTTGTACGAAGCGGGTTTCCTTACCTTACGGCCCAGAAACGTTAGTAAGTGAGATCCTCTGGTCAACGATTCAAATAACGAACGGGGTTAGCCCGAAGAAGTACTTCCCGACATCCGCACGGTTCACATCAACGGTCCGTAATCCGCAAGATTGCCGGGACGGTTGTAAGTCCATATATCTAGG